TCTTGAAGCTTTCGTCTTGATTTACGCCATGTCCTTCTGCATCAGCAGCTTTATCATCATTTTTCGTTTGGCCTTGATCTTGACTGTTATTATTATTTCGCTTGCCCTTTCGATTAACTTTTTCCCATGGACCAGAATTTGCCGGAATCTTGTCCGTTTTGGAGTGGATGCTTTGCGAATCTTCCTGTAAAAGTCTAATAGCTGTTATTAGGCTTAATTTTTCATCTTCAAGACGTTTTATTGTATTTTCATACTCCACACATTTATTCAGTGCGTCTTGCTTGTCCTTTAAATTAGTTTTGCACGTTGGACAGCTAGCGGAAGCGCTCTTCATTTCAGATATCTTAAGATTGGTTTTAATAGCTTCTATTTCTTGCCATAGTTTTTTCATTCCTTCCGCACAACTAGAACCGCAGCAGACCGTAGGCATTTCACCCACGCTTGATTGTGAAGAAATGCATACTAATGAAGCATCGAAGCTTTCTTCTTCGTCTCGCTCGAGGGCTTCAGGGTTGGTCTCCTGCTTCTTAAAATTATTGATATCTAGTCCACCAATGTCTTGCAAAAGTGAACGATAATATACTTGCTTCGGTCCTTGAATTTTCAAAGTTTTAGTTGTTGGATAAAAACTTAGAGTTACCTCAGGACTTTTGCACACATGATAACCTCCGTTAGTGGTGATTTCCGACCACACGCCATCGACCTTCAATGACTGGTCGACAAATTGAGCTAATTTGTCAAAACTAGACATCCATTTGAACTGAATTTTGCCTTTATTTGTTTCGTAACACAAATGGTTACCATTATCAACCGATTGTGTCACTTCTGGTTCGTTTAGAGGAAACTTTTCACCAAAATTTACAGAGCTCTGAGATGCATGATCAGTCGCCATGATGGTCGTATATATATATATATATATGTATATATATATATATAAATATATATATATATATATATATATATATATATATATATATATATATATATATATATATATATATATATATATATATATATATATATATATATAGATTGTCTATATCTTAAAATTAAATATCGCTACTCTGAGTTTCACGTCCTTTCTAGACGATCATCAGGCGATTTTGTTCACGATTTTGTTACTGATTACGTGATTGCATCATCATCAACCGTTCGCTGACGCGTTAACTTGTTTGTTCGCGCGCGTTCGAATTTTCCGGCGCTGAATTTTTCTCGATGGCGACATTTCGCGAAGAACTCGGATCTTTTGTTCAACAGATTGGTTTTATGTGATTTCATGATTTCTAATTTCTCTTCTATGCACAAATTACAACGCCTACCGCCAGGTACATACGCTGCTGCTAATTTCAAAATGGACCACTTAATACTGTATTCCCTTTTCTTGTCCTTCAAATCCCATACGTATTTGGAAAGTTCTGTGTCAGACGAGTACGCAGGCTTATTAAACGACTTTTTGTGATTTCTGTATCTAACCTTGAACTCCGTGGAAGTCATTCCAATGTATTCTTTGGTCGTTCCATCATGGGGCGTTGTTATTTCTGCCTTATAAACTACGTTGCTGGTTAACGCGTCAGCGAACGGTTGATGATGATGCAATCACGTAATCAGTAACAAAATCGTGAACAAAATCGCCTGATGATCGTCTAGAAAGGACGTGAAACTCAGAGTAGCGATATTTAATTTTAAGATATAGACAATCTAATAAGCTCTGCTATACTTTTAGTATTGAGCACTTTATATATCTGGACAACCAAAATAAATTGAATTATATATATACATATATATATATATATATATATATATATATATATATATATATATATATATATATATATATATATATATATATATATATATATATATATATATATATATATATATACATCAGGTATAAAGATTCACAAAACAGTCGAAACTTTTTAACTTTCTAGGGACTTGGTCATATGTCAAAAATTCATCATCATAATATATACAGGGTATTTCAATAGCAGACATTATATACATATATATATATATATATATACATATATAATTTGTTATCTTAAAATGTTTCAATTTCTCGCTACTTTAAGTTTCATGCCACTATTTGTGGCAATCTTCAGGCGATTAAATTCAGTTCGTTATAATGGCGTGATCTATAGTTTGCTGACGTGCATGCACCGTCATTATTCGCACGCGCGTTCAAAATTTCCCGCCCAAAATTTCTCGCGATGTCTGCATTTTGCGAATATCTCGGGTCTTTTGTTCAGTGTTAAATGCTTGTTTGCATCCATTATGCAGAGTTTTTCTTCTATGCAGAGATTGCAACGCTTTGCACCAGATGAGTATGCGCCTGCCCGCTTCAGAATTGACCATTTTAGGGTGTAATCTTTATTATTACTCTTTAGCCCCCAGATGTACTTTGACAGCTCTGTATCGTTTTTATATCTTTGGGGTTTGAAGGATTTCTTATGATTTCCATATCGTTCTTTGAAAGTAGTCGCCGTCATTCCTATATACTCTTTCATGACACCGTCGTCGGGTGATGTAACTTGGGCCTTGTAGATAATGTTTTTAGATTTACAGTTCTTCTTAATAGGGCATTCACTCGGGTTATTACAGTTGCAATTATTACAGTTATTACGCAAAATGCCGACATCGCGAGAAATTTTGGGCGGGAAATTTTGAACGCGCGTGCGAATAATGACGGTGCATGCACGTCAGCAAACTATAGATCACGCCATTATAACGAACTGAATTTAATCGCCTGAAGATTGCCACAAATAGTGGCATGAAACTTAAAGTAGCGAGAAATTGAAACATTTTAAGATATAACAAATTATATATATATATATATATATATATATATATATATATATATATATATATATATATATATATATATATATATATATATATATATATATATATATATATATATATATATATACATATATGTATATATATATATATATATATATATATATATATATATATATATATATATATATATATATATATATATATATATATATATATATATATATATATATATATATATATATATATATATATATATATATATATATATATATATATAGGGTTTCAATGTGCAACCAAAAGAGACATTTATAACCTAAAATAAAATAAAATAAAAGCCAATCAAATTTTGCACAAACGTTTTCGCTTTAATGTTAGCTCCTCAGGTGCATATTTACAATGAGTGGAATTTAGTTAGTTTATCTATTATCTACGTTCTATGATATCATATTATAATAACTATGTTAGGAATGCATATATTTACATAGTGTGAAGTCACCCGTTAAAAACATTCTATTGATCAAAATGTAAGCATAAACTTCATTAGTTAGCGTTCAGATCCGGATTCAGTATATTGATAAGTTCTTTTTCTTTCATCTCCCCAAAAAGTCTGTCTGTGTTAATGCATTGATATATAGGCATTATTTTGAAAATTCCGTTGTTACACATATTCAATTCAATTTATTCATATAATATAGTATACGTACATACATTAATAAGGCAAGCCGCTAATAGCTACAAAGCTAGTCGAGGCGGACTTGTCTATAGTGACACACAAAAAGTAAATAAATATTAATTTACAAAGCCATTGATTATATAGCAAATTATATATACATAATATGAAATAATTTTCAATGAAATTACATATTAATAAACTTAACGTTTTTAGAAAGGAAAAAAAAATAATAATAATATACTGTATATCAACAACAGGGAAAAAAGTAGGAGTTAACGCTTCAATTTGAGGCTTCATTGCGTGATCTTTTCTTAATTTTACAGCTGAGCAACTCCATGTCCGGATAAGTGTTTTCATTCTGTAAAATGTCCAAAAGGATACTACGTATCCTTTTCTTAAATGCTCTTTTTGGCAATTCTCTTATGCAAGATGGTACCTCATTTCACCATTTTACTCCAACATGAGAAAAAGACTTTCGTTGAATTTCTAGTTTCGATTGTTTAATGTAAAAATTATTTGACTTTGAAGAACGAGTATTATAAGAATGAATATCTGACGTTTTCTGGAAAAGATTGACAATATTGACTGGTGCAACTCTATTTTTAACATCATGCATCAATGTAAGTACATTTTCGTAGAATAAGATATTTACTGGTAAAATATTTGTAGCAACAAAAAAAGGTATTGCGTGTTCTGGTTTATCTGAAAAATGGATGAAGCGAAGAACACGTTTTTGCACAACTAAGATATTACTCCAATTTGACTTGCTTGTCTGACCCCAGATAACAAGACAATAGGAGAGATATGGACCTATTAGCGATTTATAAATATTAAGTAAAGTATGTTTAGGTACAAAGTGCCTTAATTTTGAAATCATGCCTACAGTTTTACTTATTTTACTTAGAACATGTTCTACATGATATTTCCATGAGAGATTCTTGTCCATTAAACCCCCTAGATATTTAATATAATCTTCACAATTAAGCTCTGTATATCCATTCAATTCGTTATTATACATTTTGATAATAGGCTGATATACTAATTTCTTTTGATATGGATGAAAAATAACAAAATTAGACTTTTACCTGTAGAGGAGGCCCGTCTACATGTGGCAATACGTGCCTGTCCTGATGAGCCGAAAAGACTGTCTTTTTTTGTTTTACACTGTCTTGAAATGCCAGACAATTTTAAGGAGAGACTGCTCAGCCTCACTGCCGCCACTGAGTGGGTTAAATACACTGAGCACTCAGCCCATTAAGCAGCAATGTGCTCAAATGAACCCGTATATTCTTATTTTACTCTGTGAGACTAAATCCAGATATTTTATAAAGGCAGAGTCTTGGGGTAAAAAATAGATAACACTTTGCCATTGTCTGTTCCGAACTACATACACAGACTACACAGCATGTGATATTGTTACATGGCAAGAACAAAAATTTGCCCACAAGCTGCCGGGATAAATGAGTCACTGAATGCACTGATGCACTTAACCAGGTAAATTCAGAATGCTGCAACATTTCTAACATTAGAAGTGCATGTGATGTCGGATTGGTCTGTGAGAAACTATGATGAAATTTTCTAATAATAGAATTGCATTCCTGAATATGAAAATATGACATTTAATTAAGTTCGAAGCTGGGGTCAATGGTTATGGTAAAAATTGATCATACATGTATTGCAGTCCATAGTGACAGCACTCTCCCGGCCCTTGACTAGTAAAATTGTCTGACATTAGATAGATTAAAATAATACAGTAAGGCATGTCAAGATACATTGCCACTTGAAGGGTTAACATACATGTATGTCCATATAATTATATACGTGCATATGATATTTTTGTGGTGTACGTAAGATGTATAATGTATCATGATAATAATATCATCTTTTATTTTGCAGAAATTATCTGTTTAATGCAACACAAGAGATGGCCAGAGCAAAACAATTGATTTCAAAAGAAATTAAGGATGCAAAACACGAATATATGAATATTTACCCCAATTATCGAGTTTGCTATGCCACTGGAGATGGCACAGGCATTAATATGGAAAACAGCATGCAAAGCAACAAAATGAAGTTATAATTATAATACCATAGCAACATAATAAATAATTATATGATTATGATAACTTTATTGAAGTGTAAAGTTTTGTAGCAGAGCACATGTGCTCCACTAAATTAGGAAGAATTAATTTATTATACATTTTTGTTTTTTAAATTGTTTACTGCTAGTAATAAGTCAACAAAAAAGTCAAATACTGTATATCTTTCCAGAAATTATGGCACTTTGGCTATGGAGCCTCATTTTTGTGTATTTGACATGTCTCTGGAAGCATGTATTAAAATACAGTTGTTCAAAATTAACGAAGCTTTAATTGTATGTTCAGTTCCCAAAGATGTGGCTTGGTAGTGTATTTTGCCACCCAGAAAGGAATGTATCATTGTGGAATAAATCTGCAATAAACAAGAATAGATTAATTAATAAATACAGTTTGTACAATTATCCACCAGAAACATAATTAGCATATGACAAAGGTAAACAAAAGAATGTGACCTAACTCCTCAGTTTAACCAGAGGTATCAGAACTATGAGTGCACTTATAAAGGTACATTGTTTATTCAGAGTGATATTTACTGAGAAAACCTGTCATCCTGGGAACGAGGTGTGATTGCACATGCATGCCTTGGCAAACACCTCAGCTAAACCTTGTTACCTCAGCTCAAGCCTCTATAATGACACAAAAATCAAGAAGTACCCCCAACCAGAAAGTAAGGTAGAAACTACCTTCCTGGATCAGCTTCCAGCACCCCCAGTTTCTATACGCATTAAAGTTGTACATAACACAAAACCTAATTAAATCCCTCTTTTAAAACGTCTGTGGTATATGATCATAGTTTATGACATTTATGTGGTGTAATTATAAAACGAGACCTCAGAGTCAACCTTTTAAACATTATTACACAAGACAGTTCGCACTTTAAAGACCGTTGTATTTAAGAGGGCCTCTCAGTAAAATCCACCCACTGGTTTGGGGAAGGGAGAATAGATTTAGCTCATATTTTGCATATGAACTAGACTTTGGTCAATATTAATCGAGCTTCTTTCAGAACGTTTCAACTTTCTGTTTTATAGGAGTTATAGCCATGTTAAAATTTGACCTTGCGAGAATATTTCAGACCGGAAATGAAGGGGAATTTTACAAGAATTCATCTGATTTTTTGAAAACGTTGTGATGCGTTTATCCCCTCCAGTTACTGTTCACATGCAAGATTAACACTAATACTCTCGTTTACATCGAGATTGAACAACTTTATTTGCTTAATACGATTTTTTTATAGATTTACGAAACTATGTTTTCAAGATGGCGACGAGAGGCTGAAAATTGCTCATATTTTACTGAAAATAGCTCAAAAGTGGCACCTATATCTGAAGTTCAAAAGGCATGTAATTTGAAAGTATACCTACTAAAGTTAAGTAATCAGGAATAAAACTCGTCTGCAAGCAATTTTCTGAAAAGTTATAAATCTCCAAAATGGGTCTATTTTTAGCTGCTTGTTTACATTCGCGTGTTCGCTGATCAGCGACACTAGTAATTGAAGAGTTAAAATAAGCTGATTTATTACCCATGAGTAAACTTTTTTAGCTTGTTCAAAAGAATATATACAATTTTGTGAAAATATAATTACAATATATACAAGCGATCGTGTATAGAACATTTTTGAATTCGAATTGCTTTACATTATACTTAACTTACACTTGCACTAATTATACACTTTCAATATACACATACAGTAGTACAGTTACAACGATTCTGCTGGTGTCTACGACCCTGATATCTTTTAATGTTATTAAATAATATATTGGTAATATAATAAGAACTTCGTCAATACATTGACACAATACCATTATCTCCTGATTATGACCTTGACTGCCGCTCCCACGGCGGGAGGTGCATGTCTGAACGACCAACGTGAGTAGAAAACTTACATAAGTGTCTCTGTGCGATGTTTAGGTCATGAAATAGGGCTACAGGTAATATCGGTTTAATGCACTTTGCAGAAACTCCCATGATTTTGACGTCGCTCAATATGATAATCAGAATCCTGTTTAGCCGAAGGGTTGCTATTTTTATGAAAATGCGTGTACTGACCCAAGTCTAGCTCGATTAGACAAATTTGGGTAACGTTTGTTTATACCCAATTCACAATTTTATATAACACTATGGTGGCCCATGAGCGCCATAGCATTTTCCTATATTTTTATTTAATTAATTTTGATTTTAAATACATTTTTAAATAAAATTACAATACACACTAGCAAAGTAAAAACATATTAAGATTAAATTTAAAATAAAAAAGAAACAAAATAAAAACAAATTAAAATTAAAACTGAATAAAAATAAAATGAAAATTCCACATGGCCCATGAGCGCCATAGACCAGAATTAAAAGCCTTTTGAGTTTTCACTATCTTTCAAAATTCATGCTGACATTGTGCCTGCTTGTAGGCTATGTCAGGGGGGGGGGGGCGCATATCAGCATGATTGTTTTGTCCAACATGGCGACAGGTCGAACAAGAAATTCAACGTGGACTGATGATACGAGATTGAAGGAAGAACTTCAGAAGTATGTAAAGCAGGGATTAAAGCGAAGCGAAATTTTAAGTTTCGTTGAACGAGATTTTTCTGAATACGCATGCCTAGCCACTATGGGGTACTTTCTTGGGTAGAAGAATTTGCATCACAGATTACGTCATCAGTTAGTTATAGTGATTAGTGTTGGTTAGGGTTAGGGTTAGGGTTAGGGAAGGGTTAGGGTAAGGGTTAGATTAAGGATTAGGCTTAGAGATAGGGATTGTGTTATATCTGACGCGACAAACAACACAACTAACCGATCACGTGATCAGTTCTCCTCTACCCGAGGAACTAGACAGATTACAAAAGCATAAAATAGAACAAAGGTAATTGCCGATTAGTCAAAACCGTGTCACTGAAATAATCGACTGATGAATTATTCATACTTTAACAGTTATATACTATCTATAAGTGTCTCTGGTCCACAAAACACACTGTTTCCCTCGATCTCAGTAAATATAAAGTGATAATACATAAGTTTAATGTTTAGTTACTTTTGTTCTATTCAGTCTATGCTTCTGTAAACTAGAATAATAGTAACTAGGCATGTGAGTTACTCCAAAGCTATCAATTGGGTAGCAACGATGTAAACAACGTTACCCAAATTTGTCTACTGGCTAAATGTCTGCATTACACTACCCAATTTGTGCAACTTTCTGTATTCCCCGGCATTCTCCGACATGCAAAATTCCCCAGGCCAGCAAAAGAACAGTTCTTTTCCATGACTCAAGCATGCACAAAGTAAAAATAGGAGCTGCTATCAAAAATAACTGGCAAGCTAGTGTTGCAGTTCAGCATGAGCTCCACCTTTGAATTTACTATATGAGTAAATTCTTAAACACGTCCGAAATTATCATTATGATAAATTCGCAGCACGTTTTGAATTTATCATAATAATAAATTCCCGGCACTAACCCGTAACCACTAATCCCCTAACTCCTAACCAGTAATCCCTAACTCCTAACTTTTTTAACCCTGTTTTAAATTTTTTAAACTTTTTTAAAAATCTAACTTTTTAAACTTTTTCGCTTTTTAAAACTCTTTTAAAATTTTTTAAAAACTATTTTTTTGAAAATCTCTGTCTCTTACTGCAGTATTTCTGTTATCGTAGCGGTTAACAATTATAGGGAAATACGACGACATAAGTTAAATTTCAAAACTTTTATGTGTTCATATGCAGTGAATCAAACGAAAAATGCATCCTTTGTTACAATTATTTAAAATATTACAAAAATAAAAAAACAACTAAATTTGATCGCCATATTTCTCCATAATTCGGCAACCGCTACAATAATGCAAAAGTCAAAACAAAATAGTAAATGCAACAGACTACAAAAGCGGAAGTGGGAAGGTTGTAGTATTTTGACTGCAATTATGTACAAAAATATGTTGCATCCATGCTGCAAGAATTAATGTCCGACCTTTCCGGCAAAATTTCCATTTACAGGGACAGAAAAAGATTACGAGACGAGTTGAATAAAAAAGTTAAAGCACCGAACACTTTTTATATACAGCCAGAGAGGCAGAGATACTAACAGCTTTGAAATTTGCTACAACCACAGAAAGTACTGCCCGATTGTACCTTAAAAAGATATTTAACAGTTGTGAAATTATTCATGCGAATAAGCCAAGAATGGTTAAGGTTGTATTTTTAATGTTTTTATGTTGTGAATTAGAACCTGGATAATAAACCAGCTTATTTAACTTTTTAATTATTACTAGTGTCGCTGATCAGCGAACACGCGAATGTAAACAAACAGCTAAAAATAGACCCAATTTGGAGATTTATAACTTTTCAGAAAATTGCTTGCAGACGAGTTTTATTCCTGATTACTTAACTTTAGTAGGTATACTTTCAAATTACATGCCTTTTGAACTTCAGATAGGTGCCACTTTTGAGCTATTTTAAGTAAAATATGAGCAATTTTCAGCCTCTCGTCGCCATCTTGAAAACATAGTTTCGTAAAACTATAAAAAAATCGTATTAAGCAAATAAAGTTGTTCAATCTCCATGTAAACGAGAGTATTAGTGTTAATCTTGCATGTGAACAGTAACTGGAGGGGATAAACGCATCACAACGTTTTTAAAAAATCAGATGAATTCTTGTAAAATTCCCCTTCATTTCCGGTCTGAAAATATTCTCGCAAGGTCAAATTTCAACATGGGCTATAACTCCTATAAAACAGAAAGTTGAAACGTTCTGAAAGAAGCTCGATTAATATTGACCAAAGTCTAGTTCATATGCAAAATATGAGCTAAATCTATTTTCTCTTCCCCAAACCAGTGGGTGGATTTTACTGAGAGGCCCTCTTAATATTCGTATATGTGACCGAATATCATTTTAATAAGCTTCGCAGGTTAATATAAGTGTTCTAATACAAATATTTGCGATTGTGATTTGTGAATCACAGCTTGCTAAAGTAGTGGGAAATTTTACACTTTCCCATGGCATGTGTATAATTGCACTGTAGGAAGCTGTTTCTATAGGAAATAGAGTGTTATTTTCATCGTTATACTTATCAATTTCATGTTATGTTTATCAGTTTCAAGATATTAAAAGTGTAAATAAAATTAAATACGAAAATACATCTCTTACCCTCTGTAAATCCATATTCAAGTCTCGTCTTTTCCGCATTTCTTGAGGTTTTAAAATTTACTTGTCGTCTTTCACGGGCGAGAATAAACACGTACGACTTGCATATCTTTGTCCAAATGGTCAAAGGTAGAAAATTTATATCGAAAAAATTTTAAAAACCGATTCAAAACCACGAGAACTATATTATCTGCAAACTTTTTTGCAAAAATCAGGGGGGTGTAAAAACGGCCGTGGGCTCAGAATTGAGCCTGGTCAGTGTTACCTACCATGCAAATAAAGTAAGTGTGTGTCATAAACAT